CTTCCCCATCCCCAATCTTTCCCCTACCCTCCCTTTCCCATCCCCTACCCACCCTCTTTTCCCTAACCCCCTCCCTCCCTTCCCCATCCCCATTCTCCATTCCCCACCCCCATCCTCTTTTCCCCCACTCTCTTCCCTTCCCCTACCCTCCCCCCCTTTCCCCAACCCTTCCCCCACCCTCTCTTCCCTTCCCCCACCCTCCCCTCCTTTCCCCATCCTCCCCTCCTTTCCCCAACCCTCCCCATCCTTCCCCCTCCCATCCTCCCTCCCTTCCCCCAACCCTTCCCCATCCCCCTTCCCCCTCCCATCCTCCCTCCCTTCCCCCAACCCTTCCCCATCCCCCTTCCCCCCCCAACCCGCAGAGGAACCCGCACCAGCTCATCGCCTGGACAACCCTAACGGCAATGACCTCCCTCCTCAACGCCGTCCTCGGGGTCGTCGTCATCTACAAGAAGGTCAGCGTCGCCTGGGGGAGCGTGCTCATCGTGGCGTCCGTAGTCAACTTCGTGGCCGTGTCCTTTGTGCAGTCCGTGGTGTACCAGGTAAGGAGGGAGGGGGAAGGGAGGGAGGGAGGGGGAGGGGAAGAGAAGGAGGAGGGAAGGAGGGAGGAAGAAGGAGGGATACGGGGGGGTTAAGGAGGGAGAGGGAGAGAGGGAGAGAGGGAGGTGGGAGGGGGGAGGAGGGAGAAGGAGGGGGAGGGAAGGAGGGATAGAGGGGGAGGGAGAGGAAAGGAGGGGGAGGGGGAGAGAAGGAGGGGGGAAGGAGGGAGGAAGAAGGAGGGGGAAGGAGGGAGGGAGGGAGGGATAACGGGAGGAGGGAGATGGAGGGAGGGAGGAGGAGGGGAGGGAGAGGGGGGAGAAGGAGGGAGAGGGAGGGAGAAGGAGGAGGGAGAGGGAAGGAGGGAAGAAGGGAGGGGGAGGGAGGGAGAGGAAGAAGGGAGAGAGAGAAAAAGAGATAGAGAGAGAGAGACAGAGACAGAGAGAGAAGATAGAAAGAGAAAGAGGAAGATAGATCGATAGATAGCTAGATAGACAGATAGAGAGATAGATAGATAAAGAGAGAGAGAGAAAGGTAGATAGAAAAAGAAAGATAAAGATAGATCGATAGTTAGATAGATAGATAGATAGATAGAGAGAGAGAGAGGGGGGGGAGAGAGAGAAAAGATAGATAGAAAAGAAAGATAAAGATAGATCGATCGATAGATAGATAGATAGATAGAGAGAGAGAGAGAGAGACAGACAGACAGAGAGAGAGGGGGGGGAGAGAGAGAAAAGATAGATAGAAAAAGAAAGATAAAGATAGATCGATAGATAGATAGATAGAACGTTCACCTAATAATTCCCAAAGTAACATTTCCCATTATTTTACAGATGGTGCGAGCTTCCGACTAAAGGGTTAACCTATCAGCAAACTATCAACCGGAAGTTGATTTGATGATTCACTGGTAATCATAAAAAAAACATAGAAAAAAAATGGCAGAAAATGACAAGTTGATATTTTTCTTCTTTGAAAATGAGGAATTATATGTGTAGAATGTAGAATATAGATTATAGAATGATAATAAAAAAATCTTAAGAATAATGAAGTCTTTGAGAATTCTTCCCGCATCAAAGAGAGAAAGAATAAAGTAAATGTGTATGTGCGCTAAAGTGTGTATAATATATGCCCATATGCATAAAAGTACGTGTTTATGCATCTATCCATCTATTTATCTACCTATCTATCTATGTCAAAATCTATGTACATACGCACACATGCACACACACAGACACGCTCAAACACACACACACACACACATATATATATATATATATATATATATATATATATATATATATATATATATATATATATATATATATACATATATATATATACATATATATATATACATATATATATATATATATACATATATATATATATATATACATATATATATATATATATATATATATACATATATATATACATATATATATACATATATATATATATATATATATATATATATATACATATATATATATATATATATATATATATATATATATATATACATATATATATATATATATATATATATACATATATATATATATATATATATATATATATATATATACATATATATATACATATATATATATATATATATATATATATATACATATATATATATATATATATACATATATATATATATATATATATATATACATATATATATATATATACATATATATATATATATATATATATATATATATATATATATATATATACATGTATATATATGTATAGATAGATAGATAGATATAGATATATATCATTGAATAAATACAAAATACAAAAAGATGAAAACGATATAAAAAAGTACACGGATTGAGAAATACCTATATCAGATATTCATGATTTTAGGACGAAGCCAAACGTTCTGGTAAAATTCACAGCTTCGTTATATTAATGATATAACCCCCACCCAAAAAAAAAAAGAAAAAAAAAACAAAGAATGGAAAACAATGAAATCCACCCAAGCGGAGGATGGCGGCTTAGGGCCGAAAGAAGGATAGAGGGGGCCCGTTCACTTCCCCCGTGAGGAGACACTGTCCCATGCCCCAGGTACACATCCCTTAGAAAATGGGTCTGGCCGTGTGGTTCATGACTATCTTAATAAAACAAAAGTAAAAAAAAAAGCAAACAAAGCACCATGGGTAAGTAAAAATATAAATACGATAAGATTACAAGGCTCGTTCTGAAGGAACGGATACGTAAAAGTTGGTTAAGCTTTAAAAGTGAAAGGGGTATCTCTGGCTGGTGCTGGCCAATGTAAAAAAAATTGTAAACCTTGGGTTTATCATAAATGCCCACGTCCAGCAATGTCCTGATTGGCATGTAAAGACGGCTCACACACAACCTTGTCTTGCTGCTCCAGCGACGCCACAGTATAGGTAATCCAGGGGTACACACAAACACCAGAGTCCAGAGACAACTCTCTCGCGGGTTTATTTTCCAGGGTATTTATACACTTGGGCCACGTCACTGTGGCAACAGTTATTTTAACAGAACCATACAATTAAGTTTTCATCAAACAAGAAAAACAAAAGGTTAATTGACAACAAGTAACAATAAAAGGAGGTGAAAACCAGGTGAAAAACCTACTAAAAGTGAACATTAGAAAGATGAAAGAAATGTTAGAAACACAGCAAGAAAACTTAATAAAACTATACATTTGATTAGAAAAATTGAATCCATAATACGTTATAAGTCATTAATATCACAACCCACATCCCGAGTATCCCCTGTGAGCCTCCATTAATAAATAAAAACCGTAAATAAGGTGGTGACGTGGCAGGATTGAAATATATAAAAAAAATGAATCTAAAGTCATAAAACAGTTATCTAAGACTAATAAAAATTATTAATGATAAAACTAAGGATTTAAACAAGTTTTAAAAGGAAAAATAAAACCAATAACGTAAAAGCAAAATAGTAGAATAAATGGGAGGGGTTCGGCATTAAAATGAATTATAAAACGTTCAAATCATTAAGACCTAAAAATAAATGCATAAGAAAATGAAAAAGAAAACAAAGATCCCCATCTACCCTTAAAAGATTACGTATAATAAAATAAAGCGATAAAAAGACGTAAAATAAGCCACTTAAGATTCGAACCATTGGAGCTCAAAGAAGGAAACGGGAAATAACAACAGTTGTATATAAAGTTTTATTCATACAATCATTATGAAATAATACATGGTTTGGCTGTAATAATATGTCCGTGTTGTGTGTGTATAGGAATGATCTCCAGCGTGTTTGAGCGCCGCCCGCTGGATTACCCAAGCTGGTTCGGGATTCGGGATTCAGGATTCGGGATTCGGGTATCAAGGGTGTCGAGGGGATAGGTAGGGTATTAGGATAGGGGATAGGGGGTAGGTGTGCGGACGAAAGCTTAAGGAAAAGGACGAAAAGGAAAGGAATTCAAGCAAGCCGAGAGATGGAAATGAATGAATTGAGTAGGAGGTCATCGGAGGAAAAGAAAAAGTAGGAAGCGAGAAAGAGATTAGTAAGGGGGAAGAAAAGATACAGAAGAACGTAAATAGCAAAGGAGAAGAGAAGGGAGAAAAATGAACAAAAGGAGTGAATGAGAGAAAGAAAACGAGAGAAGGATAAGAATGTATAACGAAGGAACGGGGAAGAGAAGAAAACTAGATTAAGAGATTTAGGAGAGACGAAGGATGGAGAGTAGAGCAAATAGGGTACAAGTGTCAGGATGATACGTGAAGAGAAGAGGGGGAGAGAGAAGGGGAAAAGATTGGAGAAGAGGGTAAAGGGGGAGACTACAGCAAAAGGGAGGTAGGGGAGACTAAGGGAAGCAAGGGTGAGGAAGATAAGGGGGGAGAGGGGTTACAGTCCAGGATTGGGGGGGAGGGGGTGAAGGGTCGGAGACCTCACAGATTTTATGCAGGAAACAAAAGAGATGTGTTCTGAAAGAGTAAGATATTTGTAGGGAAATTTTTAAAAAATCTATAGATAAACGAATAATGAAATGAATAATCAATTATACGATATCAGCTTTTAACAGCTGGTTAGTTTTCACAATAACCTTTTCAGAGAAGGAGAGATAATTCTATTGGTGGCAACAAGTTCGGTGAAGTTGAAGAAACTGTACCTTCTAAATGTAATATTGAATGTGTAGAATATTACTAATCCTTTCACAACAAACAATGATTATGGTGAGTGTATGTTAGCATGTCTGAATTAACATGTTAAGGAGATATTGATTCCGGGTAACATGGTTTAATCCGCAGCGTCCAAGTCTTCAGGGACAGAGGGTCTTCATCCCGGGCATCTTTGGCCATCTAATCGTTCAATATGAAATGTATAATCAACAATAGAATAGAATAACAACAGAATAGCTGTAGTTGGACAGAGAATTTATAGACTATTCATAGGCAACTAACAGCAATGTATAGACAATCTATAGACAATGTGTACATAATTTATAGACGAGGATCAGTTGATTCCGCGAGGTGGTTCAGCATTTGTTTCAATGATCGAATCCCACGGTAAAATTAGATATTAACTACCCACTCACTCTGGAACTGAAGGAAGAAATAGGATGAACTCTTACCCAGGAGGTGGCTAGAATGCCCTCTTTCTCCTCTTCTCACCTTCTCCCAGCCACTTATTTTCTCTTTTTCCTTGCCTCCTATAGCAACAAAAAACATATACGCAGGGAGCACAAACCGCAAACATACAGGAACAAGTGAAACACCAAAACCCATTGTGAATCCGATCCGAGATCATTTATTCGCACATCTATACTCCCATATGCTACTCAATCCAAAGTGCTTAAGCGAGTGGATCCGTTGTTTTCCTTTACTTCTCATCGCCTCTTACGGGAACTAAGGACTTCATTGAGTTCGGGGATGACATCGATAGGTAGCTCCCCGGCATTAGGGATGGCAGGGATGTTCAAAGGAGTGCCATCGAGGCTGAACGTGCCATCTTCGTCGAGGCCGACATCGAAGTCTGGAGAGGAGCTGCAGGTACTGTGGTCGATCTTGTCGAAGTCATCGACATCGTAGCCTGCCTCTTCCAGGTCCTTCTTGATCTGGTTGGGAGGTACAGGGCATGAGAAGTGGATAAATCATGGAGCTAAAGGAATAGTTCCAAGCGTATTCAAAGAGAGAGAGGGAGAGAGAGAGAGAGAGAGAGAGATAAACAGACAGACAGACAGATAGAAAGACAGACAGACAAAAAGAAAACGAAACGACACAAGGTCTCACCTGCGTGACGGTGGAGCTATCGAGGGATTTCGTCCTGCTCAAAATGACAACCGAAATCCTTTTGAAGAGTGAAAAGTTCTGGCACTCCATTAGTACGGCGAACTTGGTGTAGTCGGCGTCCAGGATGATGCCTTCTCTCGAGCCAAAGCTACCTGCGTGGGAGGAGAAGTGTAGGGTGCTGTTGTTATTGTTGTTGTTGTTATTGTTGTTGTTTTCTAGGTTCGTTTGACAAGACTGGAAGGTTATGAAGTCTCTCTCTCTTTCTCCGTCTCTCTCTCTCTCTCTCTCTCTCTCTCTCTCTCTCTCTCTCTCTCTCCTCTCTCTCTCTCTCTCTCTCTCTCTCTGTCACCCTGATACTCACCGAAAAAGTCTGAGTCCCCCGGCCAAGACACCTTAAACCGGCCTGGCTCCGCTCCGTCCTCCTTCTTCAGGGTCCCGACGTTGGAGAACCTGTGGTCCAAACCGATGGCTTCCAACGGGTGGAATTCCCTGGTTTCGGTGACCTTGAAGCTGCCGTCGTCGGTGAGGTTGAAGTACATGGTCATGCAGTCGCTGGTGGTGCTGAAGATCTCGATGACGTACCACATGCCGGTGAACTGTGGAGATAATATATGCGCATATATGTATATATATGTGTGTGTGTGTATATATATATATATATATATATATATATATATATATATATATATATATATATATGTATGTATGTATACATATATAAATACATACATATATACATGTATATAAAATACCTCCAGGCATATATGCATTTACCTCTCTACCTCCCTCCCTCCCCTCACTCTCTCTCTCCCCTCTTACCTGATCTGCCTGGAAATTAGCGACCGGATTGACCTTCTTGCAGCTTCCCCACTCAAAGGAGTGCGAGTTCGCCACGCCCACCACCGCCCCCAGCAGGATCACGGGCGCGTACATGCTTACTGTCTTGTAGGCGAGGAATCTTATGTAAAGGAATATCTGTGCCGAAGGTATTGAAAAATAGTAATGGTGATGATGAAGATGAAAAAGAAGAAGGTAATGGATACAAATAGGAGGGAAATAATAATAAAATCATGGAAGATCAACATAATAAAAAACAAACAAACTAAGAGACAGCTATAGAAAACAAAAACAAATGAAAAACGACTTCCAATTTTATGGTACACTATCACAAAATTTCACGATCACATAACTAGTACAGTCAGTGGCTAGAATGCCCGGAACAGTTTGGAATAAATAATAACGATAGTAATAATAATAAGCTGATTCATAATGTTACTTCCCCTTTTGGCAAAAAAAAATGTTAGTTTAATACGAGAGTTCAATGTAGATTTTTTTTATTGTGCGTGTAAATTCATCCATCCTCCTATAAAGACGAATACTAATAAGAAATTAGTTCAATTTTCTAAGACCCTATTTTATTTTAGCTAAGATTAGTCTCTCTCTGACTTCAGTTATAAGTTGTTCCAGTTTCCTATGATTAGCCTAAACAAACAACTTTTCCATATTGCTCAATTTCTCTCTCTCGTCTTTTTTTTTCTATTATTTCCTTTCCACTCCTCCCTCGCCTTTCCAGAACCGTCACTATACTCACCTGTGGACGATGTCAGTGGCGCCACTCGACGCTCACCTGTTCCGTCGGCGCCGTTTATACGGGGGAGGTTGACTGGCGCCCCGAAGCCCCGCCCCTTCTCCAACAAAACCCCGCCCT